GAATTTTTTCAAATAAGTAAGTTTCTCTGGCGCACCCTGTACTACTCACGATAGCAGGATTTTCAGCTTAGCATTAATCGAATTCAGTTACTGTCTGGAGGAGAATTATACCATTACAAACGGGCCACGGACCATTTGCGATCTTCCTTGTCTTATCCTCAACCATTACTTACACTCGACTACATTAAACATTCACTATACCAGTCGGTTGCTTAAAGCTTGTCCCAGCCAGAGCTGTGCCAAGTTCATGGGAGATACCTGGTTGAGGAAAACCGTACTGGCTTGTAGGACGGCGTCGGATGACCGCCATTCAACGAGGAAGATCACAGCCACTTCTACCATAAATATGTACCACACTTACGGGACTAATGACCTTAGCCGTTGACGCACCTGGAAATGCTAATCAATCAATCGATCGATCGATCCTCTTAACCATTTCGTCTTCATCACCCTTCCTCAGCCTCCGCCATCACCCTTCCTGCCGCAGACAACCCTCCCCCCACTTCACATGAAAACCCGTTCCGACCTCCTCAACCATTTCGCCCTCCTCTTTCGCAGCCCCCACCTGTTCCGTCTCGCTTCCAGCCGGCGTCTTACGCCGCCCCCTTCGCCCCCCGGGGCTGTCGGCGGCGGCCTCCTCGGTCGCGGCGTCCAGGAGCGACTTGAACGAGGGCCTTCAACAGTTGCCAAGTTATTAGAGGCGGCGCACGCGATCGCCCGGGGGCGGAAGGCGAGAACTTCGCTCGCGGAGGCCGCCCGCTCCCGAACCTCTCTCTCCGAGGCGATCGCATCACTCGGGGAAGCGCCACACACTTCAAGCACGCCGCCTCCCCGCCCAACTCTTATCGGAGAGCAGTTCCTCGCGACGAACAAAGGGCATTTGACAGGATGTTCCCGCGAGGAGAACGCCGTGGATGAGGTAAGTTCATCGGTTTTCTCTTCGAGATTCGAGATTTTGTGGTTGAAATTGAAATGCCGGGGTAGTGATCTGCAGACATGACCAACAAGTAAACACGAGAACTTTCAAAGAAAGAAATGGTGATGTACCTGATTTGGGTGGATGAGCTTTCAATTTCAGAAATACATGAATGAGTGGAAGAAGTAGCCTACACTTTACTTCATCCTGAAATCAGAGTTGGCGAGATTTATTTACGTTTCCTATGCTGGTAAACGGGTTTCTTTCATATGTTCACTCGTAGAGTATGACATAAAATTACGACTGAATTTATCATTTCACAAGCATAAGTACCTCGCGTTGCCGGGGTATTTGTCATAGGTAATACCACGAGGGCTTTCGAAATTGTCGATACATCCCTGACTCGCGAATCGAGAAGGAGATTTATCTGAGACTTTCCAAAACACGAGTGGTATTTAATAGGACTATTCCACGAGTGAAATTATGGACACCAGACTTCCAAAATGCGCCAAGTACTGGAAATAACTGAAAGGGTATGTTAAAATCAGAGATTATGTTGCTGTTTATTGGATATTGTGATAGCAATCGATGTATAACGCCTCCTAAAATAGATGCGTCATAGTTTTTTGATTGGCCAGTAGGTAGATGCGAAAGCATAAAAATTGTGAATGAATTTATTTTAAAACTTTGTAAATATGCCAATTGAATTCGCTTAATAATAATACAATAAAAAACTGAATAATTTACAAGTAGTGTACAATACATACGCTACATATATCTTTTCCGGAATATTCCACCTTTCCCACCTTCTTCCTTCCTTAAAGACCCGACATCTCTCTAAAATATTTCAAAATCTTCGTCTTTCATCTCACATCTTCCACCTCATGTTCTCCATTTCATGTCTTTCACCTTCCAAGATATCAAAATCGTGTTTTTCAAGGACTCTTCCAGAATATCCTAAAGGGAACCCGCATAGATTTATTTCAATCGAATAGTTTAGTTGAGAGGAATCGAATGAGCCATGATGATCAACTCCTTTGGTACCGTACGTCATTGAAAACGAATCTTAAATGCTTAGAAACACCAAAAAGCATATGGATTTCAGAGAAATTCATTAAAAAGTCTGAATGGATCCACAAAAAATGATCAGGTCCTCACCGGGAGACCAAGATGCGTCTCAGTTGTCTGAATTGGTGGTTCGGGAAGGATCTAACCGTGAGTGACTGTCGAACGGACATAGACTGCTTGATTACTGTAAAGGAATTTTTATTATAATTATTTTAAAATAAGTGCATCTTTACCCCAACTATTGTGAGACAATTTTCCCGGCATCTACTGCGAAATTGGGCCCATTGATATTAGAGTTGTCGAAACAAAGTAATACTCCGAGTATAGAAAATATAACGTGAGTGGTGTAGTCTTTTTTCATATCCCAAAATGTGTTATATGAAAATACAACCTTATTAAAATACATTCCAATGTCTCATTGTTGATATAATCTGCGAGATTATTGCCAATCATCAACAGATCTTGTACATTTTGATCTTAAGACTCAATTACCATCATTATCTGAACGAGAATCATACCAAACACGGCATTTGCGTAGACGCAATTATTGTTTTGAATGCACTCGACCGGAAAAGGGTTTCCGTTTATGAAAGTGACCACGTATTTCCGGCCTTTGTGGCAATTACATCGTCGTTCAGAACGGCCATATACGATTACAAGGCGTAAAACATTGATCTGTTTGCCGTATTGTTTGGACGTACTCGCCGTCATGCCCGTAAATGCAGCTAATTACAAGCTTCCCATCAGCTTTCAACGGGGCTAATCGCTCTTGTCGAAGCTTCGGCACACGAACCCAGGATCCGTTGCGTGATGATGCTTCTTTTACTCTCACTATCAGTACTCGCGTCATGACACTCCACTGCTGTATTCATTTCGCAAGGATAAAATCATAAGAATTCTTATGACTTGCAATTCACTTAAGAGACAATAATACTGTGACAGAAGCAAGTGATTAACAAAACGGACACTCATTTAACATCACGAACATCTGCAGTAATTTCTTTTTTCTAAGTACTTTTGATGTGTACCATTCAATCTAGTGTTAGCTGCTATACAATTGAACATATTGATCTGGGTTGTCAGGGTGACGCCGGCTTTACATTTTATATTCTTGAATATTAATAGCTGAACTTCATAAACTTTGAATCACTGGTAATCTGGAAAATTTTGTTTAAGGAATACAAGTAAAATAAAGTAACAGAGTAAAATGAGGTATATTTTAAATTCTAGTTTTATCAACAAAATAACAGAGAGGGAATTCTAATTAATCCACTTGGTGGTTTTTTGAATAATTAAATTATTTTCTAAACGTGGACCGCTTTTACTACAAAGACGTAGAATTACTCCTGACAAGGAACATAGCATTAATTTAACTAGAAACAAAGATAATTTCTCCAAAGGCCAGATTTTGAATTTTGAAAATTGAATATTTCTTTAATATTTAAAACAACTTAAGTAGATATTACATATTATCGATAACAGTACACACACATTAAGATCGCAACATCTGCAACCACGATATACTAAATGGTCCATTAGCATTGATGCCGCAAATGCATTATAATACTGTACACCACGATTCATGTTTCAAACAACCAATTACTTCACAAGTTCGCCGGAGAGTGAGTTTTAGTTCGTAACGGCATACACGTAAATTAATCGCGTCCGTGTGAGGCACAAGAAAGAGGAAGAGTGCCCCCGGATACTAATTCGCCGCCGGCGCCCAACAAGAAGTTTTCCTCGCGAGTCGCTGCATGTACGCAATTTCATTATCATACATATTGTTCCCGTGGAAAGAAGCCGGAGCGCGAGCGGGAGCGAGGGGCGGGAGGGGGGCGGAAGCGTGGGGCGGAGCGGGAAGCGGGGGCGGGGGCGGAGCGGGGGCGGGGGTGGGAGCGGTGGCGGAGCGGGAGCGGGGCGGGAAGCGGGGGCGGGAAGCGGGGGGGGGCGGGGGCGGGGCGGGAGCGGGAGCGGGGAGCGGGAGCGGGAGCGGGAGCGGAAGCGGGAGCGGAAGCGGGAGCGACGTTTCCGCGCGCGTAGAAAGAGTAGACGCCGGCTTCGCCGCGTCGCGCGCGGCACTTGTTGGCGCGCCCGTCGCCCGCCGCCGCAGGAGGACGCAGGTGGCTCTGGCGGCATTTGCAGGTGGCGCTGGGTTCAAATACCAGCGGCCGCGAGCACGCGCCTGCCGCGCCCTCGCCCCGCCCCCACCCCCTTCGCGCCACCGCCGCGCCGCCTGACGTGAGAGCAACGGCGGTGGGGCGGGTGGCGGCGATGGGCGGAGGTAGTGAAGGCGGAGGCGGCGGACGGCGGCGGGAGGCGTGGGCGGGGCGTGGACTGGCGAGAGGCGGGCGGCAGGAAAGAGGGGCAGCGGGAGACGGGGGCGTAGGGGGCGGTGGCGGTGGGAGGCGGCGGAGAGGAGGAGGCGCGGGAGGCGGAGTGCGGGGGGCGGCGGGGGTGGTAGGAGGCGGGCGGCGGGGGTGGTAGGAGGCGGGGCGGCGGGGGCACAGGAAGGCGTGGGCGACCGGAGCGGTGGGGGCGGCGGGAGGTAGGGCACCAGGAGGGCCGGGGGCAGACATGGCGGGGCGGCGGAAGGCGGACTGGCGCGAACGGCGGGGAAAGCGGGTGCGGCGGGGGGCGGGAGGAGGCGGGAGGCGGGGCGGCGGAAGCCGGGGCCGGCGGGCGGGAGCGGGGGACGTCAGTGGGTAGCGGCGGCGAGGTGAGACGCGGTGGAGGCGGCGGGGTGAAAAATCCCCTCCGGTGCCGCGCCGTCAGACGGACGTTTTCACGAAATGTCTTGCGCGCGCGAACCGGCCGTGTTCTTCTGGGAATAGGACGGCGTCCACGAATTGGAAATTATTCAGAACCCTCGTTCTACGAATGATAATTAGGGAAGTTGTTGTTAATATTATGGTTGTAGTGTTATTCCTATATATGAGTGTAGAGTTGTACGAACCTTTGCGAGTTACTCAACTAAACTCTGGGAGTAAATGCAGACAGAAAAATAAAAAACTTGTCATTATGTTACATGAGCACTATTTTCTGCAATATGAAAATAAATCTTCTGGAAAGAAGATAGTATTCAAGTACATTTAAAAGACTTATTATACAGTATTAAATGTATATTTATTAATATAGTGTATTTATTACAAATATATTCATGTCTTTTAATTAGAGCAAATAGTTCGTCTCAATACCTTCAGTTTTATAATTTACGAGCTATCATAGCTCCGCTGTTTCGGGGCCACATGCGAACGAGTTAAAAACGTGGGTTACATGTAGTTCGGATAGGCAAATACATGTAATACATGGCGAAACCATACACGATTGAAGATTACGAGAGACGTAACGAATCCCCAAACGTGACAAATCTGTGCTGCATTGTGCCAAATGTGAAAAAATACAGAAAGATTTCAACTTTTTGAAAAGTATTTGGTAGGCAAAAAGGGAAAAAGACATCCGATCTTTATGTCAAAGACATGTTAATGGATATGGAACAGAATAGAGAGGCTTCTTAATTTCCTTGACAGGAAGATAATTATATAAGAATTGCAAAATTAGGCTTTGATAATAACAATGAAATATAGAACATGAACACCTGTACTGTAATATAAACATTGGCGAATTGACTTTTGATTAGCTGCATTGCGGTTATCCAATCGGGAGCTTCGTTACGATTTGATTATTGAAATTGAAGCTCTCGATTGGATTACTGCGACCCAGCGCATCACACGTCAATTCGCGCTATGTTTAAATCGAACAATAGTGTTGGGCATGTTGAATGTAACATGTCTTCCTGTTTTTACATATTTGATGTGAATGTTAATGACGCATGTTAAAATCCAATTATAGATACCTTAAAATATCATAGAAGCAAAATAGTTTTATATGTTTTCAGTAACTCGCTAAAATTATTCTCTTAACAGATATTAAAATACGGCTTCAAAAAGAGTCATTCGGTATATGAGGGATATAAACAACATACGTATAACGATAGTTAATTCAGTTGGTTTGACCCTGTAGGTAACGGTATGGAGACTTTTTTTAGGCAGTTGTGTTGGGAATACTTGCAGATGTTAATGTTACTTTGAAATTGTATTTTAATCATGTACATCAGCAATTTATTTACGTGACATCAGTACATCTAGAAGAGTATGATAGCTGCATAATGTATATTTGATTTAAAATATTTTTATTCCCAACGAATTCAGTTACAAAATATATAAAAAATTGTATGAGTAAATATGTGATATCATAAAATGTTTGTGGTCACTTTGATTTGCTCAACTAATCTAACGAATGAAAATATAAAAATGAAAATTTGTACAGATACAGTTTAAAATAAGCAAAATTCATTTCTACGTTCTTCCACTTGTAGATACCGCATAACATAAACGAAGGCAAAAATGTTATTTCGAAGCGCGAATTTTATAACTATGTAAATTTTGGTGTGTCATCCTAATGTACCCAAAATCCAAATGGAATTTGATACTATCTGTAAAACGAATTGGTTGTTAAATAAAATTATAAACGTACAGACATTTAGGCTATATCCAATAATATGTGTAGGTACTCTAAGCAATACTAACTTGGGTATTTTATTTTTTCCAAAAATGTTTCTCTGCCGTTATTCAAATAATTCTTACTATTCTCCAAGTACCAACACCATTATTTGAGTAAACATATTAACCGTTTTTTTAATTTCTCGAATATTTACTTGATATGCGTAAGGGACGTGTTGCATATTCAACTAATGGTGTTTGTTCGAAGTTCTGATTGCAAGACCTCACTGGTTTAATTTTAGTGTGGCATTGGTATTTATAAACCTTTATCGAAACCAATGCACAACGAACACAAAACACATGCGAACGATTAGAACTAGTGAATATTTTATCAAGAGAATTTAGAACTCACCATCAACCGATGAATCATACGAATAATCATACGAATTGCGTATATAAGAATAATTTGTATAAATGTCAGAAATTATTGCAGTTCGTAACGGTTGTTTTCTTGTGAGATGAGACAAATTTTATCATGTAAAACAACAATTATTATTATTATTATTATTATTATTATTATTATTATTATTATTATTATCAAATATTGAATATAAATCAAATATTCGCATAGAAGGCGATACAAACTTAATCAGGTACTTTTCTCGAAAATTATGATTTGAGAAACGATCTGTGTGCGTTCTCGACCACTAATCAATATTTCTGATAAATTACGTTCGGAGAATAAACTATTTTAATCATATTGTCAAATATATGCACTGTTTGCTTTACCGATAGCCGCACCCTCTCTGGGATGACAGCTGTACTCCCACGGTTACAATTCCCAGCTTTGCTTATATTATTAGGTCGATTTGTTGATATATTTTCAGACCGTTGGCTGCAACATGGTCGCTAGAATTGTATCAGAGCGACCAACTACTAGTACACCGTTACAAACACGAGTAAACACAACAGTCAGAAAATGCTTTCAGTTCTAAAATGTTTATTTAGAACAATAAATCGAATAAAATATGAAAACATATAATTTTTATTGATAATTTTAAAGTATTTGACACCACATTAATGTGGACAAATGGAATGACGAAATGCGCAACAAGTCTGGCAGATACCCGAAAATGCAAATACGCACATAAAAAAATCTGTTAAAATATCACAATATTTTGTGTATTAACAAACATGTTTTCTTATCAAAAGACGTTCTTCATTAAAAAACACAGGCCAATAACGTGGGTTGCGTTTTTCTCGCTCAAACCCAAACCTATTCTTCTTTCCCATTATGCCCATTCCTCTTTTCATGCACTTGGTGCGCTGCAAAACGAATCCGTTTCAAACTCAATAAGCCTCACTACAAACGGCGAATTTATGATGCCGGCCCGCCGCGCCGGTCAAATCGTCATCACCGCATCACAGACAAGGAAACAACGAACAGCGGCGCGAAAATGCACAAATGCCATTTCGGGCGCCATATTTTTCGCACACTCACACTCTCCTTCACACCGCACCGGGTGGACGGAAGGCAACGCATGATGTATATTAAATTCTTGGATGATGAATAGCCAAAGTACTCTATGAAAGCCTGGCCGAGCACTGAGGGGAGGTGGTTTCCGTTTGGAAGGGATTTACTGCTTGTTATATTTTATGACAAATCAGATTAGTGTAGTGATTTTCTACTTACGAAACACAGGTGTACAAATTTCTATTGAATTAAGCGACAGGGCAAGTATTAGTTATTACTACACAGATCAATGTTTATTCATAAAGGTGTTGATTACATTTACTTTTTAAATTCTTATTATTATTGTTATTATTATTATTGTTGTTGTTGTTGGAGGAATTTTCAAGTTAGCACAAAGATATACATAAATCATACACTTGCAGGTGAATGAGCGGACGTATATCTAGGCTTTCAAGAGGGGTCAAATTCATGACATTTTGAAAAAGGAATATGGTTTTATACCTCCTTAGTTATTACTTTCGGCATCCTTTTTGTATTAACTGCTACTCATCTTCTAATCGGACAAAAAATTACTAAAATGGCCAAAGCGCCTGCTTCGGAAGCATGTATGCAACCTGTAGTACACGTCTGTGTTGACGCAATATGGATTGCATAAGTCACGTAATAGGCATGAAAGTAACCCTCAACGAAGTTTCTCTCCACGCGATCGAATGTTGTCTCTTCAGGTTCACTGCATTAACGCAGAAGTGAACTTTACATGTATTTTATTATTTATACGAGCGAACCATTCATAATAACTGTGAATGAATACGCGAACGTTTATACAGCGTACAATAACCTATTGAAACGATACTCTAGGTTCTGAAATTCTGAAAAATACTGTATGTTTTGGTGCATGTAAAGCAATAAGGGTTTCTATGGTGCGTTTCATGAGCAATAATACAATAATTGCAATGTTTGCTTTTACAAACTGCATTGGTTTCTGACTAACGAAACCCTTTTTTGAATGTTGGTGCGGAACACGATAGTCTGCGGTGCACAAAGTTAAAGCGAATGTGCGAGTTTGGAGTTCGTGAACATTTACAGTTACGTCGCATGTTTATGTTCGAATTCACATTTACGTTCTCCATTCAGAATGGTCCCGTCAAGTAACATGGCACCAAGCTTTCGCGTTCACATTATGTCAATGTTTCATTGTGAATTAGCTCTGTTTCGTGCGAAAGCAGAACTCTTTGTGTTTATTCTGAGAGCGGAGGGATGTACAGAAAGTTACGAAATGTTGTTCCGGTAAGTACAGTTTTTGCAAGAAATCTGATATTTTGTGGATCTAATACAAAATTATTTTACTCGTATATCTGGCAAATTACATTTTATAATATGTCGTGAGATTAGAATTTCATTTAGTGAACTCTTGAAACCAAAAATTTGATTTGGGGAATAACGACTCTCCTTATTCGTCTCTGATCAACGCTAGCACGTAAATAGAACATGAATTTTCCCTCATACTTTATATTCTTCCATTAATCTGGCTGACGTCCCGGTTCCTCGAATTGAAACTGATATTCTAAATTTAAAAATACTTTACATGAAAAGCCAATGACATTTTCAAAATTGTCTGGAAATTGGTTCTATTTTTTTTTAAAGTTCAAGTTTAGTACACTTACAAAAATGTGCATGTCCGATTTTCATTTGATACTCTTTTTCAATGTAAGTGTACATCTTTACCAGTTCTTTGACTTTGACTTGATTTGAGATGTGAGCTCGGTGGGTTAAGACGCCACCAGCGGAGTCTAAGAACATATGTTAGCGTCGGAACACTACCAAATATTTTCGAAAAACCTTAACGGGAACAGAAGTAGGTCGATACACATTTGCAGGTTCAATTATTATCACAAAAGAGTTACAAATAATAGAAAAATTAAAATAAGAAAAACTATGTCCTGTTTTGATATCACTGGTTTATCTTCAGTTTTATGTCAAATAAAAATGATGATATCGTGTCCTATATTATTTCAGTAGTGTACGTACTTCTTGTGGCTTTCACACACAACCGATCTTTATAAGTG